AGTGCGCACCTCCGGTCACCACTGCTGCGAGGTCTTTTTCTTTCGGCACTGTATTCGTTCCACGGGCGAGGAGGTGCCGAGCGCTGGTGTGTTCGGCTGACTTTCGCGGATGAGGTCAACACGCATAGCGGATAGTGGTGGTGAGAAGTAGCAGTCGTTCTTTTTGCACATTTTGTCAAGTGTTTTGTTGCAGTGGTTAGGTACCAAGTGTAAACATGTGTAAACTCTTGAGAACTCTTTCGATGGCTTCCAGCTGCCAACAGGTGAAAGGCGTTGATGGCTTTCACTTCGCAAAGAATTTCACAAACCTGCCCTTGCCCAATTGGGAAACACCAACCAAGTGGTGCACGCTGCGGGGTGCCGAAATCATGGAAACCTGGATCAAGTGTTTCAAACTACAGTGAGAGTGATTGCGTGAACGAAACTATTGCTGCTGCAGATGGAGAAAGTGTATTTCTGAGTCATATTGCTCTCTTCAATCCTCCGTGCTATGCTATTTGTCTTTAGATTACAGACTGACAGACTGCGCAGTATGCTTTTGGGGCTTTTGGTAAGATCCTAAGATTCTTGTGGCTTTTAGGGTGTTGATTTGGGTGCCTTTGCCAGACTGAGGAACACATTGGAAACCGCCTTGCGTCCTCGAAACTTTCCTCTGCAACCTCACAGACAATCAGAGTGATCCTTGGTTGGGACAGGTGGTTGGTTGGTCCAAGAAGGTGGGTTGAGACCGCAGTTCCGCTAGCTCTTTCTGCCGAAGGAGTGTCCTTTAACAAAAGCCTCGTAGCACTCCTTCGCCCAAACTCGCCTCATAGCACTCCACCTTTGGCGCTTTGCCAAAACTCGTGAGGTTTTTCCTCATCGTTTGACAGTTGGCCATTTAGGCCTTGTCTTGAGTCTTGAGCCTCCTTCTCTTCATTCCCAGTAGCTTCTTGCTCCTATTTCCTAGTAGCGTCGTTGGCCTAAGCCCCCTTCTCTTTCATCTTCATTCTCTCATTCACCTGGTCACACAGAGGGTGTAACAGGTGTACGGCTTGTAGGTGCTGTTTTGTTAATGGTAGCGATGGTCTCCAACCTAGTAGCATTAAAACGAACCTACTAGCAATGGCCTCCACCCTAGTAGCGATGGCCACCAACCTAAGTGCAATCTGTAGGTGCTTTTCCGTCCTTCCCTGCAATCTACGACAATCATCTTCTTGCAAAGGGTCGACCATGCCACGGTCATTCTCCATGGCGACCATTCTGCCTCTCCCCAAAGCGTCTGGCTTTCAAAGTCATGTATATATATATATATAGAGCGCCGGACGGAAACTTAGAATGTAAAAAGATGCCGCCGACCAGATACCCCAAAAGTATTTGTAGTAACATCTTGATTTTTGCAAATTTCACCGTTTTGCTGCGTATATGCAACGAAATTGTCCTTTGGGCATGTCAGCATTTTTGCTACGCGGAGCACCTTTCTGACGTACCCTTCTGCACGCATTTAGCTGAAATCAGAACAACTTGGCATGACCTCAAAATCATAGCATGTTTGAGCAAAATATGTAAAGCAGCTTGAACATGGTCAACATTTGTGCTACGCGGAGCACCTTTCTGACGCACCCTGCTGCACGCATTTAGCCGAAATCCAAACAACTTAGCATGACCTGTAATTTATATATAGCGTTTCTGTGCCGCTTTGTTGCAAAACGGGCAAAATTCAGGCCATTTCAGACGATGTTTGCCAAATTGCTGCAGTTTCTCAGTTCTCGTTGCTTGTTTTCACTGCTTCTTCTGTTTCTAAATAACTTTGTGCCATTGTGCATAAGATAAGTATATATATATTGTTATATATATATATATATCATGGGTTTCTGACCAAACGCGGCAGCAGTGCGCAATTGATGGCCTGATCCTGTGCATGGATCGTTATCATCAAAGGATATCAAAGGGACAAGAGCGAGCCCGGGAAAAACACACTCTCGCTGCCTGTACCACTCACTCTCTTAGGGTCTGGAACTTAGAATGGCCCCACACCACTTACCCACGTGGCCATTCTAAGTTGCCCAATTTTTTGAAACATGCGGGTCATTCTAAGTTCGGGGTATTTTTGTTTGGAAAGTGCGGAGTCATTCTTAGTTCCAGTCCGTCACTAAAAAAAATAAATATATATATATATCTATATCTATACAATATCGCTTCTGGCGATCCTGGGCATGTTCCCTGATCGGGATCCTCTTCCCTTCATCAGTCTACTTCAAGGTGAGCCATGTGTCCTTGGCTGGGCACAGCGCTGGGGTGGAATCGACATGATCCTTCTTTCACCTCCGCCGTCAAGTTGCGCCCGGGAAGTCTTCGAATCATCCAACTCCCAAGTCCCCACATTGATGTGGTGCTCAACCTCGCTGGTTGACACCATCGCGCTCGACACCAAACGGATTCTGCTCCAATCGCCTGGTTCTTCGGCGACTGACAAATCTTGGCCATCCTGTAGAGTCTCTCACCACCCACGTCATCCCACGTCCCTCCTTGACTGGGCCAAGGTGCTGGCTTCGCCTTGAATTTCGCCCAAATCGATGTTCCAAGGCCCATGGCTGACCTCCTCACATCACTCACTGTCACGACCTCAACCCCAAGCTCCTCAGTCTGGGTTTCGCTGGTTGACATTTCACCCCTTTCCACTCTCTTTAGACCTCAATGATATTCAGCTCAGCTCCTGCCTTTGGTAGACGAGGTCATTCTCCTCTGGCGGCGTTCTGCCCCAAGGTCGAGTCTCTCATCTTCCCTTGCACTCTCCATCAACCCAGACCCCTCCGGCGTCCCTCGTTGGAGGGTGGACTTGGTCGTCTTGGGCTCATGACCAGCAATTCAGCTAGTTCTTTTCTGCTAGTTCTTTTCAGTGTCAGTGTCCTCTTAACAAGGGACCGCCGGATCGAGGACACGCCTCGTTTTGTGTGTCAACCTCACAGCAGAAACAATCCATGGGGGATGGAGATGGAAGCAAGGCGCAAGGATTTTGCCCGGTAGGTCTTTGCATAGAGATTCGACGTTTGTTGGACAACCAGGGTGGTCGCTTGGTTCCCATCCTGTGGGCTGCAGGGTGGTTAAGTGATGTGATTCAGTAGTGATTCCCAGTTTTCGCACCCCAAAATGGCTATTCGAAACGTGGAGGCCACATTTCATCCTCTGCAAACCATTTTGAGGCGGATCCACATTTGCGTGTCCCTTGTTACTTTTATCTAAGGATTAGTGACACAAAGAATCGTGATGCAACTTCTGCAAACTACTTGATGCAAGGAATTCATCAAAAGGACTCTTGGCTACAACTACAGACTCTTTTTTTGCTGAAACGCAAATACTCGCTGTAAATGGTGGTCTCGATGTCACCTTTTGCGACCCTGACCTGACCGGTTGAGAGAAAAGAGAGAACAATCGATGTGAAGAGAGACATATAAAAAGAGCTGGGACCGATTTGACAAAGCCAAAGCTGAGAATCTGACCTTTGACACCATGGTGTCTTAGCTGCACCGAAAGATTGTTAATGTTCAGAAGGAGGCTGTTTGCTATTGAAACAATTTATATATATATATATATTGAAAGTAGAACGTTCAATATGGGGTTAATTGGGTGCTTTCAACCCCGAATTTCGCTGGGGCCATGCAGTTCGGCCAAATCAATGTCTTTGAGCTTTCGAGCGCTTCCCTCAGTCCTCAGGGATATACAAGCTCAAACGATCAGAACTCAAGAGAGAGAGAGAGAGAGAGAGACAGAGAGCGAGAGCGAGAGCGAGAGAGACGTTCACTAGGGGCTCCTGGCATCGCTAGGAGCAAGGACGCTACTGGGGGCTCCTGCGAGAGAGAGAGAGAGAGGGCTTGGACCGTTCCCGAGCTCCACATGGCATCATCTCAGGTCGAGTTCCTGCCGTTGGTGTTCAACTCTTACGACCCCCATACTGGAGCAGGGGTTTGTGGAAGCCTTAGAGAAAATGTTACGAGGCACAGATTGCTTCACCCTTCGCAGGATTTTCGCCCTTCGAAGGGCCAAAAGGTATTTGCAGTATGTTTTGCAGTGGTGCACGTTCTGTGCTAGTTTAGGTCAACCAGACACTTTGGGCTTCACAACGCGGGGGGGGAAGTTTTGGCCAAGGCCTTGGCCATTGCAACCCAAATACTGCAAGGACAGATAACCATGCTTTTCCTCTGAATCAAGATGTCGCCTCTTCTACTCCTGCAAGAATAATTGAAGGGCTGCACTGCACACCTTGTTGTGGTGTGCCCCATCAAACAAGCTCCCTTTGACAACCGCTTTGATTCGGTACAAACAACTCTGTCACTGCAATACCTTCTTGACCAAGTGTGTCAAACCAGTTGGGTTGGTTCTGGCATTGAAAAGGTCCCACATTTGCAACCATGGCTCCTTTGCGGCCATAACAAGAAGCTAGTAGTAACAAGTGCATCGCTAGTAGTAACAGGTGCCTTACCTTAGTAGTAACAAGAAGCTAGTAGTAACATCCCCTTTCAACTGAGGCCATCCGCCAGATGAGGCCCTTCACGTTGGCCAGTCCGCTGCACGTTTGTCCTCCATCGCTATGCCAATGGGTGTGGGACCGCGCCCGACCATGAATCTCACCAGGCCTGGGTTGATAAACACAAGACCGTTATGGCGAGATGTTTGACCATCGTACTGTTTGACCATTTTGGTACACTCAAAGAGCGAACCAGCACAGGAACTGTTAGACCTCAAAGTTGCCAGGTTTCAGGAACTGCTACAAGAGTTGCAAGGTCTCATCGGCCAAGGTGTGGCAGGTCCACTGAAGGAGAGCGGCGCTGCTTCTGCTTTCTTTTTTCAACAGACGCAGATCGGGTTCAGAGTGAATCAGCTTGCACATGGTGTGATTTGGGTTGATTCAGAGTGCTTAGCTGATGTATGTGCCCCAAACCGTCAGTTTCAATTGGAGCTGAACAAGAAGTGCTTTGTTGTGCAAGGACCAGTGACCGGTGCGCTGGTCACTGGTCGTTGCATGAATGAGATACCATGAGGACCTGCCCCTACCGGAGATTACCCCTGAGAAGGGTATCATGATGGGAGCAGTGAATGTCATCAAGCTCTTTGCTCAGAATATGATCTATGGCTTCGGATCAGGTGTTTGGGGTGACCGAGCGCGGTTGTATGTTTCGCTTGCTACAACAGTGCAGATGGCATGCGGCCACTTCTACGTACATCATCACCAAGCCGGAAATCTGATTGCATTGAAGCTGTTCTTTTCAAAGTTGTTTTTACATTGTTTCGGTTCCTTCAACGTCTTTGGAGCATGGAGTGGAGAGTACTACAGTTACTACAACAAATCAGAAGCTGATTTGTGTCATTTCCAGAAACAAGCTTGGGCTTGGGAAGGCTGGTGCATGTCTCCGGTTCTTCTCTTTTGACTTTCCAGTGTCATATGCAGGCATCAAGTATACCAAAGCCACATTGGAGCAGAGACATGCATGGAGTTCCTGGATCCACTATCAACGGCAGGTACGCGTCTGGGGCATTTAGAACTGTGGAGATGGTGTGGAATTAGATGAGTCAAGAACTAGATCACTTTGAAAAACCGTTTCTTTCATGTTATATAGTTAACTTAGGCCCGCTCGGTCTTGTTCGTCCCAATTCCGACTCTTTGCGAGGTGGTCTTCCAGACACCTGCAGTGCTGGCAGTGAAGAAGGCCTGTGGCATTCTAAAGGCCCGGGCACTTGCAAACTCTTTTCAGAATTCACTGGACTTAACTTCAAGCTGTGATGAGGAGTTATGATAATGTCCGATTTGTATTGATTTGTGAGGTGTGCTGTTTGCCTTGGTTTGGGGTTGAACCACCACATTGACTTGTGCAATCATATCACAAATAGCTAGGGCGGATATGGCCAGATTGTGTTATACCCGCAAGAGTTTGAGGTCATTGGGGACTTGCTCCTTGTCTGCACTAGTGCTTCCACACTGCTGTAGGATTTGCACTATGCTGCAGCTGTTTCTTGGCATGCACAGGAGGTACACTGCGGTGTTTGGTAGATATTCTTGATAAGTCTTCAAGAAAATATGGTGCCGCCACAGCAAGTGGAAGCTAGAAGCTTCTGGATCGAGGGTAGCTTTGATTTAAGACGGTGCACAAAAGTGCTAGAGGAACAGTTCCTCGATGGTAAGAACCATATCTTGTTCTAGGGTTCTAAAGGTCTGTTTGCCCTGTTATAATTCTTTTTTAGTTGCACAAAAAGGCATGAGTACCAAGGAAGAATCCCATCGGCGACAGTATCTACGTTGGCCACGATGGTGCGGGGCCTCCAGAAAGCTTAAGAGGAAGGAATGTGATTTGCCTGGTTGAGGAGATTTTCCAAGAACTTACTGTAACCTGTGATTTGTTGGTATGTCCTGCTTGCTGTACCTAGTAACTAGTGGAGGTCTTCGTGACCTCGACAGGTGTTGACTTGGTCAGGATTCCCAGAACCCAGCAAAGGCGTTGAACCCGATTTGCAACGTGGACCCGTTCTTGAGATTTTGCAAAGGTGGATTTGTGGTTGAAGACTTTGTTCTTGTGCTTTTGTGTGCCCCTATGCTTTGTTGTTGTGCTTTAATAAGAGCCACACTTATCAGCACAAGCCTGGCTGTTTTGAGCGAAAGCCTTTCTTTAGCATTCAACTTTTTGGCAATCGTCTCAGAAGACTTTTGGCGTTTGAGCCACGACAGCCACGTGACACATTGTGACATTGATTGTTGGCTCTTGGATGCGTCGATTTCCAGATGACCTGGATGCCTTGGCGATGTTTTTCGACGTCTCCTGGGAGGCAATTCGCAACCAATGACTGGGCTTGGAGCTTTTTTGATTTGTTTGAATCAAAGAAGCAATTGTGGCATTCTCCTGACATTGATGCGACTTTGTCCCGTCTCGGCTTCCCGACCGTGAGGCGCCCCCCCTGGGGGACCTCGTCGCCTACCCCGCCGGGCTCGGCGCTGACCTTCCGAGTGACCTATCCGACAGTAGAGGCGAGTGACCTTCGGGATAATTACGCCACGATGGCTGAATCTTCGCTTTGAAATGGAACACACGCGTCGTTCCGTACAAATTGCAGCGTGACGCCTACTTGACCAGATTATTGAACCATAATATTGGATGTACCCAACATGGGTGACCAAAGAGCTAGCGTCAGAAAATAAGAGATTGCAAAGAAGATTCCAACCGTGAGCCATTCGGGTTGAGCCGTTCCCAAAAGCCAGCAGAACATGGGTTCTTCACCGATTCGTGTCGTTCATCGGCGCGATGTGAACAGGTGGAGTTCATCTATCCCACCTTCGATGGTTCCGCCTTCCCGCAGCTGAATGTGGTGCGGACCACTCCGCCCACAGTGGACCTTGGAGTCGTTGAGGTGGGGGTCCGGGTAAGCTGGGCAGGTGACCTGGTGGTGGGTAACAAGTGGGATGCCAGAGAGTTGTTCTTTTTCTTTCGTCGATTGGTGTAGTCGATTCTAGTCCAGTTGGACTGCTCAGTGCTTGGTGATCGGCATCTCGCAGGCTCGAGCGGTGAAGCTTGTGCAGCTGTATGCAGGCGAGGCGAGTTTGCACACCCAAATCTTCGAAGGTACCAAACAACGAATCTTCAGAGACAGAAAGAGTCCGCAGGTCCATAAGTGGTATTGCATCATTGTACAATTAATGTCGACAACAAGTGCTGTGAATGGCAAGGCCAACCCTGCATTGATGCTTGCAGAGGAAACTTGGAAACAACGAATTAAGCCTGCTGAAATAAGCCTTGGACCGGGGATAATCTTGGACCCAACGTGCAAGGAACCAACCTGTTTCTTTGCCGGATTGGATGGTACCCTGTTGAGCCGGGCCATAGCGACAGGTTCCAAGGACCTCTCATTGTCCAGAGGTCCATAACTTTGACCAATGGTTTGATGCACGTCGGCTTTGGCAACACCTCGCCCTCCCGAACTGGACCGAAGTATTCCAAGTCGACTGGCACAATCGGGACCTTTGCTAATGTTTTGATCAATGTCAAGCAGAACTGGCCAAGGGTTGCCCTTTTTCTTGACCCACTTGATCATAGCGGGTGTGTCATGGTTCAAAGATGGCCATGTCAGTTGCAACAGCGCAGAGCCAAAGCAAGCTTCTTGCATCCTGAGGAGCAAGGATTTTCTGAGAGGACGCTGAGCCGAGAAGACTTGGACCCGCCTCAGCTCAGCAGCAACATGAGCTGAGACTGACAAACCCGAGGAACTTTCGAGTGATTACCCAGGTGTTGGTGCAAGAACCAATACGGTTCTGGACAGTCCATGTTTCATGTAGTGACAAGCCAAAATAGTGTGGGGTGGGGTTGTTGGAAGTCCTGCAAGACTCCAAGACTTTGCATGTGAACAGTCCTGACTAGGCTTGAAGATTTGTGAACCAAGAGCATCAACAGCATTGGTGTAAACAATTGCAAGCCATATTTCATATGACAGGCCTTAGAATCTTAGACAAGCCTAGGTGACCCTTGTGGTTGATGGATTTGATCGATTGAACGACCTGAATTCAGTTAGTGACCCTGCTTGCAGGGGATTGGTGTGATCTTCCAGAGGACCTGGTGGAGTACTTGGCCACTTGGCAGAGATTGACTTGTCAACTAGAAACGTGTTTTTCTTTTTCTTTCCTTAAACTTTATTCTTCGCTTTAGGCCAGTTTTAGACATTAGATCTTCCTTTCCTTTCTTTTCTGTTTCTTTCTTCCTGTTTTTCAATGTCAATTTCGGCTTATATATTTGCACACTTGGAGTACTTGAGTGTTTTCGATTGACAATTGGAGGGCGTTGAATACTTTGTGTTCAGGGTTTGTTTGTTGCGCTTCCGGTGTGCAAAGTTGCCACATGAGTGTCGGATGTTTGGATGGGCTGCTAGGTTCCTTGGAAGGCCGCACCTCCCGGCAAGGCTCTGCTTGATGCAGTTTGTGCGTGCCAACCACTCATGAGTATATAAACCAAAGACCGTAATAATTTTTTGAAAGGTGGTAAACACATACAGGCAGTTTCCAGTGAGTTTGTTGTGTCCTGCAGTTCGGCATTCATACTTGTCCTGTTGCGGTCAACGTAGTCACATCGTCCGATCCAAAGATTGGGCAGCTCAGGGGATCCGCCCCAGTGCGGAATTGGTTTCATGCCTGCAGCTCGTCCAGCAGGAGCCGCACGTGGGATGTTCTGTTTGGTGCTTACACACACTTGAGAAGGTTGCTCCGTGGAGCGCGATTTCAGGCTGCTTCGCGGTGTGCATTAGCACTTTAAGGGTAGTTACTGCATTAGCCGAATGCATTAGCACTTTACTGCAAAACAACGTATGAGACAGCGTTGAACTGACTTAGAAGCATCAATGAGTGAGAATTAAAATTGCAGGTGCAAGATACTGCGTCCAGTATCTCTTCCAACCGAACACCATAGCTTTGTTAGCACGGCTAGGTGAACGGCCGCCGTGCCCCCTGCTACTGTACAAGGTCTGAAAAGTCATAGGAATAGAAATAGCTAGAGTAGTGTCCTTGGAAACAGGAGTGGACACACACACACACCTATGGACAAATGGACACATGCTTTTTGATTGATTCTGAGATATCCTTGGAGAATATCCCTGCCATTGGCATTCACAGAGTTCGTTTATCAAAGGTGGTGAGGACTGCATCAGTGTATGGTTCTCCAGAAGTGCGAACCCCTGTCCATGCATATCAGTTGCTTTTCTGCCTTGCATGCTCATGAAAGAGCTTCTGCCAGCCAGAGCATCCCCCAAAGTTGCGTCTTGGGTCATGAGCGGACAACTCGGGCTGCAAGTGATGCAGTTCTTGAGATTGCCACATGATGTTTACTTGCATTTTTCCAACGCGCAAGACTTGTCAACCACTTCTTCCAAGTCCTAGTTGTCTGCGAGGCCTTTCATGAGGCATGTGAAGCGCTTCGGCAGCAGCCAGCCTTGCAGCAGGTCTTGCTGGGGAAGAGGAGCATGCAGAGCTGGGAGGAGCGAACATAGCGGTGGAGGTACCAGTTTAGTAATTGATGAGGGAGCAGCATTCAGTTCTTTTTCTTTTGTCTTTTTGGGGTCAGGTCATAGTAGCTTTAGTCGCTAGTAGCAAGAGGTGGCTACTAGTTATATATTGATGCACGAAAGCTCATGCTTCCTTGTTGAACCGCTGGCACTCTTCGTTTGGTTCCTAGGTTTTTAGGGAAACTTAACAGTCGTGACAACACAGGGTGTGTTCGTTTCACCCATGTCTTGACTGTTGCATCTCCTTGTCTACATCAACCAGCAGACCTGGATGAGAATGGTAGTAAACGCCATTTCAACATGTAACATGTCCATACATGTCCATCAATTTAACTCAACAAGGACCAGGATTTTACTTGGGACCTATTCTAGTATTCTAGTCTCTGCAATCTCCACACGAACCATTCTCTTCCAGAATGTTCATCTCGATGTAGATGGTTTGGTGACCACACCACACCTGCCAATGGCATGGTTTGTCCAGTCATTGGACATGAACAGTGCCATCTCTGTTTGAGGAGGCCTTGAATGAATGGGACGCCCAGCAAAGCCAGATCTTGAGAGGCAGCCTGGGCTCGTGTGCAGAGAACCTTGTATAAGCCCACCGGTCTGGCTTTCAGAAGTTTTGGAGAATGCACTCGCTCTATCGTTTGTTTACATAAATTGAAGAGATCTAAACTCTAGTTTGCACTCTCCCAAATCAGAGTTGCACGGGTTAGAATTGTCTTGTTTGTAGCCTTCCGGTCGGCAGATCCTCTGTTGGTTCGGAAGAACTATTGTAGTCCTTTAGGTACCCAGCAGGCAGGAAGAGTGTTTATCAGGTTCCAGCAAAGCGAGACCAGTGTGAGGCTGGGCACCAACAGCGTGCGAAGCACATGCTTTCCGTTTGCCTGGTGAACTTTTACACGGGGTGTCACTTGGTGAAAACTGACATGATTTCAATAATAATCAAGAGCTGGTGTTTGCAGTTCAGAGATGCTGGGCAGACGCGAACTGTCCATGAGAACGAGAGGCTGAGGCTACGGATTTTTGAAAATCACCCTGTGGATTTGAGTGTCTTAGACGTGGCATGTTTTTTGCCTTGAAATTGGCTCTTTCCCCTAACAGAAACGTTTGTAGCTGAGCTATGTCACAAAGGCTGTTCGGATTTCCAGGATACTGCTCAGGTCAGAGCACTTTTCGCTGCTTGCCAAGCTCGGCCATCTCTGGACCCAGAGGCCCTGGAGAATCTCAGGGAAAAACAGATTGGTTTGCAGGAGTTGGAGGGATGCGCTGGAGGGTAGAGAGTTCAACTGCAGGCCATTGCCTCGTATGTACTTTTTCCAACCGGACTTTCAGTTGTACGACCTCTGGAGCATGCTTGAAACATCATCACAGCCAGCTGTGAGTTATTTGATAAAAGTGCATGTGGGTTCGGGAAAGTCCTGACTTGTGTCTTGAATTGCATCTTCATGCCACACTTTCCGAGCTGCCGAAGCAGAGGCGATGGGTTTACAGTTTTCAGAGCACGTGGCGTATGGCGGGAGACCCAGGAAGCACGAGCTCAATATTGACATCCAAAGTGATACAGAGGTGATATGAGGTTGAGCAATGCTGGCTATCAGAATCTGCCCTTCCAACAAGGGCCAACCAAAGCTCTTTGGAGCTGCTTCTAGCCCTCCCGGACCGGCGCCCGGGGTTTAGAGACTTCTCTGAGCCGAGGCTTTGAAGTTGCTGGAGTTCTTACAAGTCTTGGCGCTTGATGGCATCTTATCAAAAGATTTGTTTGGGGGTGGATGTCTTAGTTGAGTCTTGGCCAGTGGCTCTTGCTGTTTTCAACCAGGGCCTAGGGCCAGAAATGGTGCGCCGTGAGCTTTCGAAACGTTTGGCCTTTTCCAGTCTGAACCAGTTGTGTTCGCATGCTGCGTCTGGATGTCTCTAAAATCAAGACTCTAGATGCGTCTACATTGACTCCAAGAGCCCGATCAAATCCTGTTATATATTCGCATCTCACACCAGCAGGTGGCTCACCGACCAATGCTGGGATGGCATGTCGTGAGTGGTTCATTGGTCTCTCATTGGCTGATCTTGATCTACACCAGGACTAGCCAAATCTCTTCAATCAACAGGCCCTCCCAAGTGGGCCTAATCCCCGCGTGCTTTGGACTGTTTGGTTTGGTGTTTTGTTGCCTTTTGGGGTGTTCTCTGGCTGATTAAATAGAGCCGTGGTCCGAGGTTTGATGAAGGCTTTCGAGCGCAGGTCCTGATTCTTCTCATTTTGGTTGCACTGTGCCCACTTTCCAGGTCTAGTGATTGAAGGTAGCTGCGTGTGATGTGAAGCTAGACTCTAGAAGTTCGTTTGATCTTGGAGGGTTCCTGTGAACGGAGGCGCTTCAATTAAAGCCTTTGGAAAAGACAAATCACTCCGCTCCCAAAAGGGGAAATCATATGAACACACATGAAACATGTCCAATAACAGCAAACCTCAGGATTTGACATCATGTCGGACCTGGCCTATTGGTTGCATCGCCGCAGCTATCGTGAGGCCATTCCTTCATTCTTTTGAGGTCCTGTGTAACCTGCCATCATTCGGCAGTCAAGGTTCAAGGTTCAAACAAAGCTGACTACTGCAGACCTGTTGCCCCGCTTCGTTAGAGGTGTACTGAGCCCAAAATGGCCGCTTGAACTGTCTTGTTTTATTCTTTTCATACCTTCAGTCTGAGACATGGCACAAGGCTTGGACAGGAGGTACTGCCGGTGCATAGCTTTTGCTTGTTGAGTTGCAGGATTGCACTCTTGGTTTGCATGCTGATGCTCGTGCAATGTCGAGGGGCTACAGTTTGTTAGCCACGACGTTGGAAGCATTCCCAAAAGTAGGAGTCGTATTCAGTGAACACCACTACCACACCCAGGTGGCTTCTGTAGCAGGGCCTACGCCTCACACTTGCAAATGCATATCTGAAAACAAAAGCACACACACACACACTAGAGATACGAGTAGCCCTAAGTGGAACAGAAAAAACCGCCTCAGTAAAACCAACAGGTGCAGTGCCACGGAAGCCCATGAATCCAGGTGTATATATATATACACACACCAAACCCTGCAAAGCTTGGTTTGAACCACTTTCAGAGCCAGGCCCAACGGGCCCGCCGCAACGAGCAAGAGATTTGGACTGCTGTGGCTAAGGAGCCACCGGTTTTCAGGTGCCTTGGGCAGATCGGTTTTCATCACTCGTCTATTCTTCTTTGGAACAAAGCAGTGGTCTGACTTGGGGGATTCCGTGTTCAAACAGCGTTAGGATTGGGGGTCTCACTGCAAAAAACCACACACATGTGTCAGGATTAGGCATGTTTGATGCAAGGAAAGATGGTTTGGTGTTTAGGCTGTTGGGTGGTGTTTTGTTTCATCAGATTTCATCGTCTTTTGACTTCATGGCTTGAGACTCGACATCCCGACGTCCAGAGGATCGCTGGCACCGCCTCCGGGCCGCTCCGCCACGACGTGCGGGCGGCCGCCGTGGTGGACGTGGCGGCGCGGGCGCGACGTGCGGCCTGGGACCCCAAGGGGTCGGCAGTCAGTGGACGCGTGTGGTCTGATCCAGTGGACGCCCTAAGCTTGGTGCTTCCTCTTCGTGCAAACAATAGACATTAAAACCATTGTTACTAGTTGCGATGCCCTTGTTATTAGTAGCTTCTTAAGGCCAGGAGCTACTATATAGTAGCTTCTTGTTACTAGTCACAGTGCATCGTCAGAGCTGAGTCTGATAGTTGATTGAAGATATTTTGTAGTTGATGCACCAGCGTCAATCCATCCCCTGCTGCTCCTGGTCACGAGGATGAATCATAGGCTTAAGTTTGTAAGTTCTCAGGATGCGCAGCCCTTCCGCATGGTGGAGGTGGGTGTCTTCCAGGGCAACTTGTCCAAGCACATTTGGCAGCGCAGTGCAGCGCGCCCAGGAGCACAAGTTGGGTCGAGTCGACATGTCGCTGTAGGTTGGAGGCCATCGCTTAAGTTTCCCTAAAAATCTAGGAACCAAATGATTAGTGCGAGCGCTCCTTGAAGAAGCGTGAGCTATCCTGCATCTTGTCGGTAGTAGCTTACTTGTAGGTACTAGCTACCCGAGGTGCCTACTTAATTAAGGAGGGGGGAAGCGGACCATTCAAAAAAGAGCTATCCAGCCATCCCAAGACTCGAGGAGCCTTTGAGCTGCATCTAGTGGACCATTGGGGTGCGCCCTACGTACCTTTGGCAACCCGCAAAGAGCTTGAAGCAGCTTGGTGGACCAAGGGGCACCAGGAACCGTAGCGCCGAGCATTTAGTTTGAGTGCAACAGGAAGAAGTATGTGTGATGCCACAGGATAGGAGCTATCTATGTGTCTTTGCCACTCTCACTGCTTTTAAGTTTCCCTAAACATGTGGGAACCAAATCATCAGTGCGAGCGTGAGCTATGCTGCGTCCAGATACTACAAGCTAATTCTAGTTTAAATAAGTAGGCGCCTACCGCCTACCTGATTGAATAAGGAGGCCGACGGCCCCACGGGCTCCAAAAAATAGAAAAGAACCAATGCCTACTTTAATTAAGTAGGAAGTCGGCGAAAAAGTTCATTTCGATTTGCTCCAAGGAGTCGCTGGGGACGGGGTCCAACATGGCTGGTCAGAGCAACAACTCGGCTCTACAGCGCCTGTGGCATCACTTTGGCGCAAAGGGTGCTCGGCGCTTTGAGGTGCCACATTGGTTGGGCGAAAAGAGGCGAGACGCCTCACGGCATGCTGTTGACGCACGTCCTTGCCTAGTAGTATGGCCAGGAGCCCCTAGTAGCGTCCTTGCTCCTAGTAAGTAGTACGGCCAGGAGCCCCTAATCGCATGGACTTAGAGGAAGTCAATATTTCGGATCCACCTTTTGACGTGCTTGGACTTGCCAGGGCCTGCGGCGAGACAACCCGTGCTGCGGCGTCTTCGGCGGACCTTTTTGTGCATCGCAGTGCCAGCATAGCACCAGCGAGGTGGGCAGATGAGGGAGTAGTTCCAGCTCAAGAGTTCAAGAAGTTACATGTGCGTGTTGAAGTAGGGAGACCTCCCAAACATGCCTTGGAAGAAAGACAAATCATAGACCAGAACCTACAGACCCAAATTTTGTGACGTCAACGTCCTGAACTCTTGGAAGTGGCTCTCCTGAACAGTAATTCGTTGAGAGTTGGTCCTCAACCCACCCCAGGTGCTTTCTGGATGGCAGTTCTTGAGCTCAGATCCATTTGAATATCAATTTACCTGAATGACTTGTTTGTTCACCAGTTGGGCCATTGGGCCTTAGGTTGCGATCTTCAGGATCACAGCACTTTCAGTCAAGCGGTGGAGCACTAAGGCTTAGATTTGGTTTACATCGATGCCGACCACAAGTGGTGGAGCGTCTTGCAGGACCTCACAACTTGGTGGCCCAAGATCAAACCTGGAGGAGTGATGCTCCTTGGCACAAAGTCCATGAGACGTCTTAAATGTCTCATCTCATCTGAGACCCAACAACTATGCACCTGGTTTTTGATACTTCACAGTGTTTACAACACCACCAGTTGTCAAGTTTCCCTGAAAATCTAGGAACCAAATCATCCGAACCGACTCTTGGCGCTAAAGGATGGGACACGACTTTCACTTCAACTCGCTGATGGCTCCTTGGCCATGACCCTCGTGTCTCAAATTCCCTGGTGCTGCTCACATCATGTATGTTTCACATGGATTCAATTGCTGTTGCGTCGCAACTTTGATTGAGTAGTGCTGTCCGTTTGTTCATTCCCACTGCATTTAAACTGTCAACGAAGCCTATTAGATATTGTACCCCTACGTCATTCTTCAATGTGCGCACCGCGCTTGCCAAATGGCCAATGTCCAGTGTCCCAAAGACGCAGGAGCGTGCATCGCTGGACGGTGGAGACATCAATGATGTACCTCTAGCCGTGGGTGCATTCTTTCGGTGGCCCACCACAGTGTCCTTGCATTCTGGCTTTGTTTGGCAGCTCGACAGAAACCCGCTATCGAGCGTGTCAGGCACTAACGGGTACTGGTGACATCGGCATTGTGAAATTGCTGTCCGGGAGAGTGACTTGTGCGAGGTCTGTGCAAAAGCCCTTGGATAGCCAGCCGAATGCCACTGAAGCCCAGCTCCAACGGCAGGATCTGTGTGATTTGCTGCGGAGGACTGCGGGCCTTATTTGGCAATTCTTTCGAGAGAAAAAACATGCTAAAGGACAAACAACATCAAATCAGATGGGTTATTCAATCTCCAGATGCCCGCAAGGAAACTTCATCCTCATAATGAATTTGAGATTTGTACAAACTACAATTCCCCAAACAAGAAAAGAACTATGAATTGCTTAGAAAGAATACCAGGGTTACCAGAAATGGCTTCAATATCAAGAACAATGATAGAATATTGTAAAATAACAACAACCATTATATGCCTGCTAGCCGATGGGCTAGGCTGGAGTTGGGTTGGGCAAACGAAGTGAGTATAGGGGGCGGCCGCGCAGAATGTTGTCAACCATGCGCAAAAGGGCACCCTATATGGACTGAGAATTCCTGGGGAGGATAGGCATCCCGGGCGTGGGAAACTTGCCACATATTTCGCACTCACCTCTTATATTTATATTTATATATTTTTACGGTGGCTGATTTTCGCTCCTTTTTCTTAGGACAAACATTGGGAATATGCATAATTTTATTAAATTTCTTTACTTTTTACAGGCAAAATTTTCGAGTTATACTTAAATGGGCTTGGAATTGTACTTAAAATGTTTGAATAATTTTATTAATTGACAACTTATTTTTAATATATTTTTTGTTTGATAATTTTTTTTTTTTTTAAATTCTTATTTTTTATTTTCGAAAGCATTGCGAAGGGTTCTTCTAGAAAATCCCTTGAAGACTGACACTTCGACACTTACACTTACACACTGACGCTTCCACACTTGCACTTGAACACTGACATTTCTACACTTACATTTGAACACTGACGCTGCTACACTGACACTTGAACACATATACGTCTATATGTATCCCAGTGTAAGGGTAAAAAGCATCTAAGGATAAGTATACAAGGGTAAATATCTAAGTGCAAAAATATGTAAATATCCTAGTGCAATCCCAATGCAAGTATGCAAGTATGAATATGGAAAATTTTGCACGGGAGATGTCCTAATGAAAAACATTTCTCCACTTTATGAATTCTCTCTTAAAGGCGGAGGGTGGGACGAATAGCGTTAATCGAAAATGCAACCCTCTGCGGAGCTCGTGCGTGTCGAGTGCGCGAAATGCAGGCGAGAGGGCGATTTATCCCATCTCGGAGATCGTGCATGTCGAAAGCGCGAAATGCAGGCGAGAGCGCGATCTGTGAAATTACCGCGCAACCCTCTGCGGAGATCATGCGTGTCGAGTGCGCGAAATGCAGGCGAGAGTGCGATTGGCGCGGTCCGCGCGGAGATCGTACGTGTCGAGTGCGCGAAATGCAGGCGAGAGTATGATTGGCGCGGTCCGCGCGCAATGCTCTACGGAGATCTTGCGTGTCGAGTGCGCGAAATGCAGGCGAGAATACGATTGGTGCGGTCCGTGCGCAACCCTGTGCGGAAATCGTGCGTGTGGCGTGCGCGAAATGCAGGCGAGAATGCGATTTGTCCGGTGTGCGCGCAACACTCTGCAGAGATCGTGCCTCTCGAGTGCGCGAAATGTAGGCGAGAGCGCGATGCACCCTGGACGCGGGGAACCCTCTGCGGAGATCGTTCCTTTGTAGTATAACTTTAGTAAAACTTTAGTACGCGGAGTGTCTGGCGAGCTGGAAGATGAGAACTGGCGACTTTGTAGTACAACTTTAGTACGTGGAGTATTTGGGGAGTTGGAAGATGAGAATTGGCGACTTTGTAGTACAACCGGAGTAGTTGGGGAGCTGGAAGATGAGAATTGATGACGTGGTAATATAACTTTAATACACGGAGTATTTGGCGATATGGTAGTACGTTTTTAGTGCATGGAGTATCTGGGGAGCTGGAAGATGAGAATTGGCGATTGTATAGTGCAACTATAGTACGCGGAGTATTTGAGGAGCTGGAAGATAAGAATTGGTGACTTGGTAGTGCAACTTTAATACGCGGAGTATTTGGGGAATTGGAAGATGAGAATTGGCGATTTTGTAGTATATTTTGCATCGAATTTAGCGCCTACTACGACTAGACTGGAAGGTTTGTTTAGCGCATCTTATTGGCGGATATACCAACAGATGGCGCCCTCGACGCCGCCCAATTGGTCTAGATGGTCGCCGCCGTATCTCCGGAGAGGATAATGTAATGAGAGGCTCTCCGACGCGCTGTGTCATTTAGATTTTTATATGGTAACCAATTGCATATCTTATATTATGATTTCTTCTTCATAACTCCTGTGTGGACGACGTTTTGCGGAAGCACAACAAATATTAGACATAATGTCGGGGAGTCTCTTCTAGATACAAGGGCTGGCTACGAGCTGAGCAGAGAGAGTGCGCAACAACGTATGTAATGCGCAACAACGTATGTAATGGGTGTTGCGTGTCACCTCCAGCTACTTGGATACGTTTTTCTCTGGGAGAGGCGATTAGGAAATGATTAATATAATGGTTTTTAATTATATTTAAAGCGAAGCACATATTACCTTTAGATCATTTGCGCAAATAGACTGTGCATTTTCCGTGGCTGACCTTTCGGTACTCATAATGAAATTGCAGAAATCTCTATATAATTTGGACCAATTACCAAAATATGAATTCAATAGCAATGAAGAATATACTTGCAAGAAATTTTAACGCACCTTATAAGCTTTTGCAATATTCATTTCCTATATGAATCTTTATAAGGCAAATAGAGCCTTCTTATGGCTATGCATGTGCTATTTACCAATTTGCAGCCCACTAACTCGTAGGTCTGTCCATTTTGCCTAGCCATCATGCCCGACCACTTCTTTAGCGTCACCCATGATGACCAGAGATAGGTATGCCTCTATTGGTCCTATGGAAGCAGGACGCAGGACATATCATGACAACCAGCCAGAGCTCATCCATGAAAGATGGCCATCCATGAAAGATGGCCAAACTAATCCATAGAAACCAGACACTGGGCTGCCCATGGAGAAACCTGGCAATTTTGGCGAATGAGGTGGTGCAGTGGATGGGAAGACTGGGTGAGGAACAACCGCCGCAATTTCACAGATGCCTATACTATCAGATCTGCTTCGGGTCGACGCACTGGACCTAGACTAGACCAGGCAAAGACCCTGAATGGAGGTGGAAAAAACAATAAGATATTCCCATCATAATCAACTGCATGCCTTATACCGTGATTTCTTCCTGACAAATTCTGTGAGGACGTCGTTCTGCGGAAGCGCAACAAGTACTAGACATACACTATCTTTTCTGTGTTCAAAGACTAGTCGCGAACTGAACAGCGAGAATGCGCTAAAACATCTATAGTGCCTGCTGTGTGTCACCTCATGCTACTTTGTCACGTTTTTCTTTGAGACAGTCAATTAGTCAATGATAAATATAGTGATTGATGAACTACATCCTAGAAAAGTTGTATCCTGGAGTGAAGGAATCATTATTTCTGATCGTATATCGATGGACGCATCTCCTCTGATAGGTTATTGCTTCGAAACACTTCTTGCGTGGCTACCTCAGTAATTTTCTGCGTTCATTCCAGCTCGCTTTTTTGCAATGAGATTTCCTGCAGCCGTGCACGCTGCTTCTCCCCTTACCAGCAGCTGAAATGCTGACGACGATGAACTGGGCTGTCACCGCTTGGCCGCCGGTGGGGGGTTTGGGAGGCCACATCGCACACAGAGATCTATGCACTGCCTCAACTTACTCGAAGACACCCACATACAGAGACTCATATACACACGGACATAGATACACATACAGAAACCCTCATACTACCTCAACTCACTCGACTTAAACACTTCACACTGAACACTTAATAGATCATTCACACTCTGACTTTTTACGTGATGAAAAATGCTTTCGGGCCACTCGTCGTCTAATTTTTATATGAACCTAATTTATTCTATTTTTGCGAATTGGACAAATATTCTAGAAATACTTTTATTTTTGATTATTTATAAATAGTATAGAGATTGGCACGATATATAATTTTTTTTTTCAAATAATGGCAATTTATATTGAATATAGGAGGAAATGTGGTGTCGTTATAGGATATCGTTATTGGACGAATTTGAGATGCATTATATAGCGTATGCATTTGGCAATTGGGTATTGGTGGGTGATAGGATTATTTAAAGTGGATATTAGAATCGTTAGGGAAATATTTGAAATTTATATTTATATCTACTTTTTATTATATGTTTGTTAGTTATTATATATATTTTGTAAAAATATATATAGAAGACCTTCAAATTTATTAAAGGTAATATGAAAAATATAACTGATATTTTAAAATATTGTTGCTTATAGATATATATATGCAAAATGTTTATTTTAGCGTGTCGGAAGGTAATAAAGGATGGAATATGTAAAGATATTTAATATTTCTTTAGAAATAAGTAATTTAGTAAAAAAATATATCAATAAATATCGAGAAATCCTAATTCTTCTTTGTTAGGGAAATATTTATTCTATAGGATGTAGGATGGGTAAGAAATTACGGGGAAATGGATAATTCGGATATTTTTTAAATAGAATATATATATATGATTATTAGATTATAAATTTTTTCCTTCTTATGCATAAAATATATCGATAAACAACTATAAAGAAAATAAATACCTACTAATTACATCTTAATACCTAATTTTTACATATATTCTTTAAACCATACAATTTATTCAGATCGAACTTACAACCACTACATTAAAACATATACGCCATGTGCAAGTCAGACCTGTCGCTTTGTGCCAATCGGGGATCATTCTACATTTTGAGCTCTTGTTTTGGGTCACCAATTTGCCCTGCTTTTCTGTTGTTATTCAGTGGGGGGTGGCATCATCAGCATTACCATCAAATCATTGTAATTGTAGCCCTTTTTCAATTCTTAAGCGGGACTTGCGCAGCCTTCGATGAAGCGAGCGGGGGTTCCTGATGAGGGTATTGTGCGTGGTCGATTTCATTGACATACATCATTTGAAGGAAATTTATATTCTTGGGCACAGTTGTTGGAACATGTTGCTAAGCTGCATCCTTCAGAATATGCTTTGGCTACCTTGCATGACGAGGTCTACCCTGCAGCATAGCAGGATCCTAAGAATGAAGACGCCGCACGATTGCGATATTCGCACGAAACCGATGGAGCATCTTTTACGTCCAAAAAGGCACCTGGTACTTTTTGCCTAAAGAA